TGGTTCCCTGTTCAGTCTGGAGTGACACAGGGGTGTATCATCCCTCCCATCCTCTCTCTGGTTACCACTGACTGAATCATCAACAACACCACAACAAATAACAACCTGTTCTCTTACTTGGAAGATCTTCACTTTACAGACAATCTTGCTCTCCTCTCAACCAACCACGCCAACATGCAGACTAAAACCGACAGGCTCAAAACTTTGCAGACAGGTGGGGCTTTAACACCTCTGAAACACAAGTGATATGTGTTAACACCACCCCTTCATGACCTATCCTTGTTAATGAGGCACCACTAGAGTTTGTGAAACACTTTACCTACCTCGACATTCTCATTAGTAAGGACAGCAGGCCCAAAAAGACATAAAAATCTAGACTAGGAAAGGTTAAAGTTGCTCTTTCCAAACTCCACTCCGTCTGGAGATCCAAGCAATAGAGCCTCATAACATGCTAACATAAGATGCTCTTCTACAACAGCAATGTCACGTCTGTTGTGCTGTGTGGCTCAAAGAGTTGGGACGGGCTAAAATCTGACAGGAGGAAAGTGGAAGCTTTTGAGAACGGATGCATCAGACAAACCTGCAGGATCTTCTGGCCTAACAAAATATCCACCAATCTATTCTACAAAGAAAACAGGTAGCCAGAGCATAATCAAGGAAATCACATACAGATGTTTAAGACTGGTAGATGGTGTGTTATGAATGGATCATTAAACTCATCTAAAGATGGACACCACTGAGAAAAAGAAAACCTGAGAGGCACAAAACGATGACACAGGAGCTTGAAAAGATGAAACTGTTATGAGGAGATGAACATCATGCTGCCAAGGTGAAAGAGCAATGGATGTCCAACAGGGGATGAAGACGAGGAAGTAAGTAAGTTGATTGATTTAAAAAAGTGTAATTTACAGATAAATCTATGACGATATAAATGACTTGTCTCTGCACATGAACCACTACCATTTGAAAACTAACATGTTCATATTTTCTTCATGTAGCATCATACCCCGGCCTCTTGTCACTCTTTGTTCTCCCTCCAGCGCTTAAAATACCAACGTGTGTGCACATCTCTCTTTAACTTCTAAAGAAAATGTGAGGTTCAGCAGGCTAAGATGATCAGTGACATATTTTTGAAATGTTCAGATCATATTTGTCAGAAAATTATCTCCAAAAAGCATTTCCTTTTTCGACTGCAGTCAAAACAGTCAGAAAATCACTGTGCAAATATTGAGCGGAATTATTTTATAACTGATAATGTGTGAAAGTTATAATATTATTGTGTTGGTTCAGTATTGTTACCCATGTATTTAGCAGTGGCAACATGACATGGGATAGCAGGGGCATTGTGTCCCTGCTGACAGGTATGTATATGTCTTGTCTAGACATGCACAAGCACATGAAAAAAGGAGCCCTGAGGGAAGAAGCGCCAGTTGGGAATGTAGATTTTCTTTCAGGCTATTTTCATGTTGCTAGGATCCTATTCTTTATGTGCCATGTGAGATATCTGTTTCTTGGGGGCAGTTTCTTTTCAGTAACCACCCAGCGTCTCCCTTTGTTCACAGAGCACCTATGACACCAGAAAAGACAGGACAGGCACCCAGAATATTAGACTGGATTTCAAATAATATAGAGAACAAAGTATGAGCAGCACGATGCAGCGTGTGTTGTGTTGATCCTTGTTGCAAAGGCCTCCATTTGGATACGTCGACTGGCAATGTGAGTATTCTTTAATGAGCCGTGACATTTTGTGTATTTACACAAGTCAGTTAATAAGTCCAAGAATGCCAACATGTGATACTTGAGTCCTTTGTAGAGAACGTCCTTCACAGGCTGCGATTGGAGGACTTCACTCCTCAGGAATGCAGCAGGGAAGACGCATTCTGACTTTGTAAAAATTCTCTTTGTGTTTCAACTCAAAACATGGAACATTCATTTCACCACCTGTTCAACAAGCTGGTGCACTTCAGAAGTTTGGACATAAAACACTGCACACGGGGCATCTTGCAGCTTTTGGATTCTTTTTGGCTGTCGAATCACTCTCGCATGAATCCTCGGTTTGGTTGCCGACAAATTTTTTAAAAATCACACTTTCTGATCTTTTCTGTGACCTCACATTTGGACCTTTTTTTTGGTTGTTAAATATCAGACCAAATTCTTCATCGCTGATGCAAGAATGTGCAAGAAGGCAGTGGATGGAGTGTGAAGAAATGATCTGTTCAGCCTCCACTTGTGGTACACGCAGAGTGACAAAACAAGAACAGAAATAAACCTAATATCCTGCATGACCTACATTCTCAAATATACTGTAAATAAGTCATTATCTCCCCCTAGAAAGCCAACAAAGTTTTGGGTATAAAATATTTGTCTTATTCCTCAGAGCTAAGCACACACAGCGAAGCAGCTCTGTTGTGTGTCAGTGAAGACGCTGCATGGTGCTGCAGTGTCTCACGCTGCATGTGTCTTGTACCCTCTGGGGCAGGGTAATGGCAGGCTGAGGCATGCTGGGATATGGAAGTGAGCATCTGCCCAGGTTGATGCCCCATCTCCTTAGCCCCTCTCCAAGGTTGGGGCAAGCAGCTCGGAGCTCCTTCACTTCCCCCCCATGGGAAAACAAACTGAGTGGAGACAAACTGCCAGTAAGCACATTGCAAACAGACACCCATGTGTGAGCCGGCCTCTCCCTTTTCTCTGTGTGCACACACTGCAGCCTTCTGCCGCTCATTAGTCAGACAGGGGTCTCTCGGAGCCGTTTTCAGTTAAGACCCCTCTGCTCTATAAAAAAATAAAACATTTAACTCCAAATAAAAAATAGCAAAGGGCTGGATTTAATTCATAATCACACCCACTTAATGGCAGGATAAAATGCTCCAGATCTAAAACCTCCACAGACAAACAGCTTAAGATTGTACAAGAAAATAAGAGTGCAATGACATTAGCTATTAAAATAGTTTCTCAGATCAATGGGTCATTTCTTCTCTATTAATAAAACTTCCGGAGAGGGGATGAGGAAAAGTACAGATGAAGCACTGATCAACATTCAAAAACTTCAGAGACTGCAAAGAGAGACCTAAAAAAACAGACTGGATAAGAATGTTAGTTAAGCTGGAAATAAGCTTTACTAATATTCAGGTTGTAAGGCTTCTGACTGAATGAATACGGTGAAATGTAGAGGCAGCAGGCAGCAAGATTGTAAAGCTGATGTATGGGGTGGTGCTGTCAGGCGTCGCTCTCTCTTTGCACGTTTAAAAGTGAGACTTCCCTCCAGCACACCTTTTTATTCAATGCATCCAAATGAAGATGTGAAAAAAAAACAAGAGAAAAGACGGCTGCATTCACCATGAAGGGATTAGTGTTAGCAAGAGATGAAAAGGTGTGACAGAAATGTGTCATATCTGTTTTCATTACGATCAATGTTATATGACGTGCACTCATGATAGCTGAAACTGTATATGTGGGACTGTCTTGCTTTGAGAGAAAGACGTGCTGATCAATATTACAGTGTATTACAAAAAGCTGTTGTAAATTCAGCCCGGCAGTCCAGAAATAGTGCACACTAACTTCCTGTTCTATGTAGCTCTCATCTAAAAGACAACCTGTGCTGTGCTGTGCATAATATTTAGCACTTCAGCTCTTCAGAGCATTTGCACCTCAGGTTTTTCCACACTTGTCAGTCAGACACAAGCAATATAAACCTACATCATTGTGTCCGAACAGATCGCTGTGTGTGTGTGTGTGTGTGTGTGTGTGTGTGTGTGTGTCTGATCCCTTGCATTATCTTTACACATGTGAATGAGAAAGGCATTATCTATTGATATTTCAAAAATAGTGTTAAGTAAACCTGCTATTTGTCCCCATCTTGACAGGTTTTTTAAAAAAAGGTTGAGCGCAAACTCTTTGAGCAGAAAAAAATTGAAACCCCTTGGGGAAAGGGCTCAAATCAGAGGCTTGCCATAAGCTGCAAATGGTGGAGAAACACCAGATGGTATATGTGGACATCTCAGAGGGCAGAAACTATCCCTGTCAAATCTTGTATAATTGAGATGTCAACGATAACGACAAAGAGTGATTTATTATAATTACAAAATAAGCCCTTCCTTAAACCAGCGTGTCTAGTACAAAATGAGTAGCCTATAGAGTAATAGCCTTCAGAGGAGGTGAGTCTGACTGACCTCCTGACTATATATTGCAGAAACCCAGTAAAAATGCACCACAAAGGAAATGACACAAAGATATCAGCCTGCATGTGAAACCAAAAAGCAGACCCACGTCTTGCTCCTCTTTGATGCATTATGGGGCTGTATGGGGAATGGCAACCCAGGCAGGCGTGCAGGCAGGGGGGGTGAGGCTGCAAGTGCTGCATCTTTTGTCTGGTTGTGCCGAGGAGAGAGAAAGAAAAAAAAAGGTAGAGCATGAAGGTGTAGCCTATCACATGCTCAGCGCAAATGATATTCAATGAGCAAGATTTACAACCAAGCCTCTCGGTTCATTCATATTCTGCACGGCAGCAGCCCTGAGTGGCAAATCAAACTGCGGCTCGGTGTGCAAACCGCTGCACAGCGCCCGGCTTTGGGTGCGCCTCATTCATGTGTCTCCAGGGGGGTCGGGGGGGGGAGAGAGACTGAATGCTTCTGGCGTCGACCAAAACAACCACAGCCGAGCCCCTCGTGCAGTAAAGTGGTGTGATGTATGAGACTTGAGTCGACAGTAATTACTACCAGGGTGTGTGTGTGTGTGTGTGTGTGTGTGTGTGTGTGTGTGTGTGTGTGTGTGTGTGTGTATGTGCATTCACAGAAGCCAGCCCAGTGCACGCTATATCCCTTTAAATGTTCTCACCTATATATTAATGCGCTCAAATCATCAGACAAAAAAAAAAAAAAACGCACGCACAATGCGGACGTGCTGCTTTCAAAGACACCAACGTACATTTCAAATAGAGGCACATTGTCTTGGTCTAACTCGTGGGTTTCCCCTTTTGGTCCCACGCATGCACAGCCACCCACCTGCTTGTGTTGTATCCGTCAGATCGAAGCTCATCCCCGGGTACTCCCTCAGCTTCCTGCCGCTCAGGTTGAGGATCCCGGAGCAGACCGCATCCTCCAGAGCCCGGTCCAGGCTGCGGGCCGTGTGGTGCTGCTGCTGGTACTGGCTGATGCCCGGGCTCCAGTGAGGTCCGCTGGGGCAGTGATGGCTTTGTAGAGCCGTGACAGCTCCCACACCTCCCTGACTAGACGCCATTTTCGTAAAAAAGAAATTACTCTTGCTATAATAACAGCGCACAGCGGCAGTTTCTCCGCCCATGCGCATACGGGGTACAATCCCGGGACGGACGCTAGGGGATGGGCTTCTTCTGAGGTGGTGCTGCTGCTGCTGCTGCTGCTGCTGTTGGTGGTTGTGATGGTGATGATGATGATGATGATGATGGGGATGGTGATCAAGGTTTGGTGGCCATTTTAGGCTTTACTCTTCCTCCACCTGCTCATGGTTAACTCCCAGCAGGGGCCCCAGTATACAGACAGGGGGCAGGGGGCCCTAATTGATAACATACATTAAGGTTTCCTTACATTCAGCCCTCAATGTCTGGAGGGCAGTTACTGACAATTTATGATTAATCACAATGTTTAAAACAAAATCAGAGACAGTAGGTCTAATAAAAAAATAAAAAAAGAGTAATTATGGTGTCCATGCTTTATAATACTACATGACATTTCAGAATGAATTGCGATATAGGAGATTTTGATTTCATTTCAGCTGATATAGTTTAACAGCTGTAGCAGGATTATTCAAATAACTTTTTTTTTTTTTTTAATGCCAGAGTTGCAAAAAATAAATGCCAAGAATCCAGATGTATCATTTTATCATGTCAGACATTTAAAGCTCAACGAGCTAACAATACACCTTTTAATCGTATTACAACTTTTGCTCTGATGAAAAGATGAAATGTTGTACTCAACATACTGGTGGTCTACTTTTAATTTAGTTTGACTCTTCTAAAACCTCTTTGCTTAAACTGCCTTGGCTTTACGTTTTGATTTCGCTGCATTAAGAACAGCCATAAAAACAAAAGGGCTATAAAATAATAAAAAAAATAAAAGTATTAAAATAATTTAAATGGTGTAGCTCCATGTGGCTGAATCAACAGTATGAGGGCAGATCTCTTATTAGAAGAACATATTTGTAATTCAAACTTTTTTTTAAATGTATATCTTTTCATAAATAGTTAAAGGCCTAATTCAACTCATATTGGTCCTTGTTTGGCCCACGTGCCACACATTGAATAAGTCTGTTCTTCATTTTCCTTGTTAGTGAATACACTGGAAGAGTGAAGAATATCAACAGTGACTAAAATAGTTCTCCATTTATTCTGACATAACTTCCACAGCTGCAGTACTCCAAGTTTAATGTATCAGGGTCCTACTTCTCTGGTCAGCCTGACAGTGACTCTTGTCAGCCCAGTGTTTGAACTCTCAGCCCAAACTGTCCGTTAAGTGTCTCTCTGGTTGACCACGCTGCAGCTCTGCTGAGCTGAGGACTTAAGTATAGCACCAAATTTGACAGTTGACCTTTAATGGCCTTTAACTCTACCGTTGAAAACTTCTATTGGTGACCTTTGCAGTGAAGCACTCACACTGAACAACCTCCCATACCTCAAAGCTCAACTTTCAACACATTTGACTTCATTAATCAAAAACTCCTTCAAAACACATGTTCTGCAACTTTTGTGTGCTATTTTTTGTTGGTTTATTTTTTTATAATCAGACTGTCTTGATTTGTATCATGCATGTTTGGAATTAACCAACACACTGACATTATTCATGCCGTATAGAACAAAAAGATGGATGACTTGACAGCTCTCTTAAAGTGTAACAAAAACTTTAGGAGCTCTCTCCTACTTACTTACAGTATAGGTCATTGACTCTGCCTTCTCACTGTTAAAGGAGCAATATGTAAAATATCTACTGAATTAAATCAGAATATGACCTCACTATATCATCAGACGTTAAGAACTCCCCACTGTTTGCCACATATGAGACCAGTTTTCACAGCAAACCAACAAGTGCTGGAAGTGGGCAATACTCAAAACAGACTAACTGGTGAGTATATGCGTCTATCTTGTAATAACTTATTTTGCTGATGACTAACTTGTGTGTTTTTGTAACTCTGTGCTTCACATTAAACATGATAAGCAGGTGGAGTAGCAGAGAGAGGTCTGACGTGATTACAAAAAGGAAACAGCAGGTCAAAATAAAGGTAACAAGTTCACTCCAACTTTGACCAAAGAATGCGACCATTTTCATAAACAGATTTCAGATCCATAGCCAGCCAGTCTGGACGTGATCACAGGAAGTAAATTGTTTTAAGAGTGAACAAAGAGATTGGACAAATGGTTGAGAAATGCCCCAAGGATAACTTCAAAACAGATTAAAACTTATCCTACACTTTAAGGTATAATATAGTTTTACCAATTGCACCATCTTTCTTTGAAATGGGCTCCATAGAAAACCCTTTAGGGGGGAGACACATAAGATTCAGTCTCCTTCAGACTAAAACAACATTAGATTAGATTTATGAAAATAACATCAACTCCAATTTTACAGAATAAGAAATGAATCCTTCAAACAAAGGACCACGATGTCTGAACATGGAGGAGGCTGTGACGTTTTGGGGTTGCTGTGCTGCCTCAGGCACTGGCGCTTTGAATCTATGCAGGCAAGGCACAGTGAAATCACAAGGCTTTCAAGGCACGAGGAACAAAACACAAACAGCCCAGTTTCATAAAGCTACAGTAGCAGGTCATAGGTCCTCCAGCAGGATAATGGCCTCAATGTCCAAAGAATGGATGAGAAGAAACATTGGACCATCTAAAGAAGCCTTACCCCTTGTCTGAATTCCATTGAACATCATGTGCAAATATCTGAAACTGGATAAGGAACGCAGCAACTTAAATATGCAAGAAAACTGGAGCATTGGTCTCAGATAATACCAGCGGAGAAGAGAACACATTCAGAGATAAAGAAGATCACAGCTGGAGACACTAAAGCCATATATAATGTAATAGCCTGAATAAGAAGTTGTAATTCAAAAATGTAACCAATATATTCTGCTGAATAAGACTGTGGGTCTGATGTTCTCTGTGCATGGATCAAAGTTTTGGAACGTATAATTTATTAAAGGCTCAGCTTTTCTTAGATACAAGTGGGGGGGGGGGGCTCCAAGGGGAAAAGGTTGGGAACCACTGCTTTAAGGAAATGTCATTTGCATTGTATAGAGAACATTGTCTACATTTTTTGCTAATTATGTATTGCTGTAGTACAAGTGTTCCCAAACTTTTCGACCTGTGATCCCCAAAATAAGGTGCTAGAGACTGGGGACCCAAACTGTCCATGGAGGTGGTTAAAACATTTAAGGCTGGCAGACTAATAGGCTAATTTTATTTAAGTAATGTATTGTACGAAATGCTAGAAGCAGAACATGATTAATCTCTTGAACTACTTTATTTTGTAGATGTTGGAGCAATGGATTGATGTAATTGTCTTTGTGGTATTTATTTAAGGTGAAGGTAGTCTGTTATATATTGGTGTTTTGGGTTATTGATTATTATATCATTTATTAGGATTGTGTTGAGTGGGGGGATGTCGGGTCACATGGGTATGGGCGGAGATGTGTTGATTTAACTCACCTGTTCATTTTTTGTTCTCAGTGGAGGAGAGGGGGTGAGCTGGGTTGCCATATTTTTTGTTGACCGCTATTGTTTCTGGTTCACTGTGATTATGAGTTAATGCACGTTATCATAAGTTAAGTTGATTATCTTTTTTACGTTAATAAAAAAGTCAAACTTATTTTTACGTATCACAGAATTCAAATATATTAGGCCCAACCTTAGCCTCTCAGCGGCTTCATCTTCAGGAAAGCCGCTATACTAGATATTTTCACAATAATAGTAAAATGTTAAATTTTCAGTGATTTTGAAATTTTATATGATTTTGAAAGGAATCTCACGACCCCCTCTCAATGTCTTGCGACCCCCTAAGGGGTCCCGACCCCCACTTAGGGAACCACTGATGTAGCAGGCTATTCATAAAAACATATTAATCAGATTTATTACAAATTATAAATCATATAGGCCCTATATGATTTTATATATTGAGGATATTTGTGAGTGATCATTTAATCAATGAGGGGCATTTTGAGGACCATTCATGTCACTTGCACCTAACTTCATTAAAACATGAATATTGAATAGCTAATCATTTTTTTCACCTGTAAGAACTGTTCTTTAGGGAAGCCCATTTCTGCCAGTAAAAAAATAAAAATGAAAATAATAAAGTCTCATTATTATGACTTTATTATCTCATTGTTATGACTTATTATCTCATAATTTTGACTTTTTATCTCATAATTATGACTTTATTTATTTTTTTTAACTGGGGGAAATGGGCTTCCATAGTTCTTATTGAAGAGGATTAGGGCCACTGAAAAAAAAAATCAGATTCTGACTTTTTTTTCCCAAAAGTCTGAGATTAAAGTCATAATTCCCCCCAAAAAAGTCAGAACGCTCAATTATCTTTTTCCCAGTGGCCCTAATCCTCTTCCATACATTCAAGCCCTTTTTGAAAGGATGTAGATTAAAACTATCTTGCAGTATGTGACCACAACACGACATGGTGGGAATGCACATCTGTTAAAAAAAAAAGCCCATGAAGACATTACCTTGACAGGTGAATGTCCCGGAGAATATTATCTCTATCATGAATATGTAGGAGCAGCACAGTGACAGACTCATCTGTTATGGTGCAGACTGAGCAGGCGTCCTCCTCCACAGCTCCAGTCGGATAACTGCACTCCTCATAGCATGTTGTGATAGGAAACAATCGCCGTCGCAGGGAAAATGCAGAAGCAATAGCATGCCACTCATTGTGAGTTCCACTTTAAGCCAATGCTCGAGGCTATAAGCATGCGTGACGTGTGGTTTTAAAAGCTTCCTGTCGATGATTTTGTGGAAGAAAATATGAGACTGTGAGGTTAGCTAGCTTAGAGTAGAGTATGCACTGTGCAACAGCAGCAGGAGTTAACAGATGTTAGCAATAGATTGCATTTGTTTTGGTGATGTTTTTTTAGGAGGAAGGTCGACAGGGGTATATTATCTTTATGATGCATTAAAGGTTGATCATGTTTTCTTACTTTGAGTGCAGCTGCTGTGAAGCTAAAGCTAAACATCAATGTTAGCCATCGTTAGCAGATTGTACTGATAGCTGTAATAGGTGTAGGCCTTTTTATACACCGCTTGTGCAACTTAAACAACTTGTTAGTCATTTCTGCACAATTTTGAAATCAGTTGAATGGTGTTATGTGTCTGAAACAGCTTCATGTGTCACCAAGTTTATCTGCTGGGCTGTAGGTAGCTTCTCCACATCCTAAAAGTCTCCATCCCATGTGTGGGTTTTATTTACAAT